CCCCGACCCCCTGCTCGCAGACAGGGAAGAAGCTGGTGCTGTGCATGGAGGGGGGGAAGCAGCCCCTCCCTCACCCCGTGGTCAGCACTCCCTGATGCAGCCATTTGCAGCCCACACAGGGCTGTCCAGAGCAGTCACAGGCAGCCCCAGGTGGGCTGTGAGCGGCTGCAGCATGGAGCGCTGGGCACGGGGTGGGCAAGGGGCTGCTTTTCCCTTCCTGTGCTCAGCTTTTCCCTGGGCCACTTTTCCCCAAGCTCCTTCCCAGCCTGGGCACCTCCCTTCCCCTTCCCCCCACCCTTCCCCCTTACCTGCAGTTCCAGTGTGGGGCAGCCATGCTGTCTCAGGCCAGAAGCCCCTGCTGGGGCTTCCAGTTGAGGGGGCGGGGCGGGGTGGGCCCTGGGCAGGCCCTGTTGTTGTGGGAGCCTGCTGGGCTTCCTCTGGGTCCTACTGCCTTTATTTCCTGTCATTTTTGATAGGAACCAAGGGGAGATAAATATTAATTTTCTAATTTTTTTAGGGCCCCCACGAGCCAGACAGAATAGCCTCGCAGGCCGCATCTGGCCCACGGGCCATATTTTGCCCACTCCTGCCTTAGAAGTACAACATACTTAAACCATGATAAACATGAAGTATTTTTTAAAAGGTCATTATACTAATGCTACTGAACTGCACTTTCACAAGCCACTAATCTGCATCATACCTTTTTAAAATTTTGGATGATATATGTCATGTTGGCTTTCCTGAAGTCCCTATCTTTGTAACAAACACCAACATGGTGCAGACTTGTTTTTTACCAACTGTATTCTAGACCCTCAAAATTACCAGAATGCCTCTCTGAACTAGCGAAGAAAGACTACTTAAGAACAATGTAGCTGTCTCAGAAAAATACAAATGTTAGTAATTTTTGAAATTCAAGTTTATGCTTCCCTCAGAATTTTTAGAAGTGCCCAGTTAACATTCATTCAGTCTCAAATATTATCCACATATTTTTGCCTCAATTACTCAAAATAGAGACAGGAGCCAGTTATTGCACACCCTCAATAGTGGCTGAATATTGAAAATGAGTTTGCTTGCTTTTTTTTATTTAAATGATTATGATTACAGTAGTGGTGAATATTAAAGCTGGTCCAAAAAATAACTATATTTGTTCTAGCTTCAACTGAAAAACTGCATAACCGTTTAAAGAAAGCAGTCAGACTTTTACATCACTTTACCAAAGTTTTGGGACAATCATGTATGATAGTACCCCCAAAGTATATGGATCTTTTAATATAAAAGTCTGCCATATTGTGATTCTTTAGTATGTGCATGGGACATATATTTTGTGACATGAGGTTTTGAGGGCCAGGTGGGTGATTATCACATTTTATATATTATAGATACCTATATAAAAATCCAGAAACAAAATTTGGTTACAGTTATTTCTACAAATTGAATTTTAATATGATGTCATGCTTAACATGAATTTTAGTAAGTACAGAATAATGGAAAAATAGAGCTGGAAGTGATCTCAGGAGGTCACTATCCAACTCTGCTTAAGGCATGATCATCTCTAGCTATGACATCTCATCCAAGTATTTATCTCACTTGTTTTTAAAAACTTCCAAGGATGGAGACTCCATCTTTTTCTGGGTAATCTATATTTCAGTACTTAATCAGCCTCACAGCTGGAACATTCTTCCTAATATCCACCCTTGATTTCCCTTCCTGCAATTTAAGACTGTTACTTCTTGTCCTTTCCTATGCAGACAGAGACAATAGTCTATCACTATCGTCTTTATTACCACTCTTCATGCATTTATAGATTGTTATTACATCCAATATCAGTCTTTTCCAAACTAAATAATCCTAGTTCTTCCACCCAGTTTTATAAATTTTCCAGCCATTTCCTAAATCTCTAATGTCTCTGTTCACATCCTGTGGATCTTTTATTCAGCACTGACTTGTCATGTACATGAACCATTATTGCTTGCTTGATAAGTTATGTTATCATAAATTTGTATGATCATTGCTTCTTGTATGGATTTCAGCCTAAAGGTACAATCTGCCTTACTACTGCTAAGTACTTTTCAGTAGGGCCGTGCAAAACAGCACTATTTCATTTCAACTTCTGTTTCACCGTTTCAGTGGGACAGTGTTTCATTTTGTGTTTCATTTTATTTCAAAAGCAATGTTTCATTTAGTTGAAACTGTTTCGCTGTTTCAGTGTTTCACCCATTGGCTATAATGGGGAAGCACAAAACTACCTCTAACTTCTTCCCATTTCTTGCTTATTTCAGATGAAACTTGCAGGGATGGTAGCTCCTTCTGAGGCCATGAAGCCTGCCAAATGTCAAGCAAATAGGTGCAGAGGTTTCTGGGAAACTGCACCTCAAAGTCTTAACAACAAAACTCTTGTCACAGGTACGTGTTAAGGTACAGCAGGGTGAAAACTGAAGGGATGGTAGCCCCTGCTGAAGCCATGAAGCCTGACAGGTTTCAAGGAGACAGGTGCAGGGGTTTCTGGGAATCTGTACCTCAAACTGTTCAGAACAAAACTTGTGTCACTTGTAAGTGTGAAGGCACAGAGAAAGCTCAGTTCAAACAATGCTTTTTATGCTGTTTTTCCATTCCTCCCCCAGAGCACTGGGATTGGAAAGGATGTCAGGAAAGGATGACAGTTGTGGGCCAGCTACACATGTCAATATCAGAACAGTCCTTCCCCCTTCTTCCCCCTCCTTCTCCTTAGTTTCTGTTCCCCTGCAAGCAAGCCCAGCTTCAAAACTCAAAACATTTTGAAACGTTTGAAACATTTTGACTGCCCTTGTTTCGTTTTGATGCTGTTTCGAAGCCTTTTGTTTAGTTCCAATTTCACTGTTTCGAGTTTGAAACGAGTCGAAACAGCATTGAAACAAAACAGATGGTGAAATTTTGCACAGCCCTACCTTTCAGTCACATGATTAGTCTGTGGCCTTTTAGGTGACTTCTATGCCTTTTGAGTGTCCTTTTAGCTGACTCCTATGCCTTTTGAGGACTCACCAGCACTGAAGAAAATGGAAGAATCACTCCCTGTGATATGCATACAACACCCCTATTCAAACAAACTAGTCTGTTACTAGCTTTTTGTGCTTCACATTGGTGATTCTTAAGCTTTTGATCCATAATAAGTCCCAGAATCTTTTATTCAGTACTAGTTTAACCAGACATTCCTCATTTTGTATTTGTGCGTTTGATTTCTCTTTCTTAAATACAGTATTTTATAATTGCCCTTAGTGAATTTCATCCCATCCATTTCAGATCATTGTTCAAATTTATCAGTCGCATTGACTTATAATTCTATCCTTTAAAGCAGTGATTCTCAACTGGGATGCCATGAGATCCTTTTAAGGGTGTCATGCAATATTAGCACTGTTAGGTATGCAAACACCTAAACATGATTCACAAAATAAACAGGGAGATTTAAAATAGGAATTCATAGTATCAAAAACATTCTGACCTGTTGTGGTCATTCTAAGTTCTATGCAACAAAAGAATTGCTGTATTATTTTGACACAGTAAAAAATAAGTGAAAGTTTAAAGTGATCATTTCTTGCTTCTATAAGTGAAGGCAGTAGCATTAGCAAGTTTCTTATACATCTCCAGACAATCTATTTGGGACCATTTAGCTAAGCTCAGCTCTTTTTGTATAATGGGACGGTCTCGGAAAAGATTATCAAAGAGGTCATCCTATACAGGCTAGCTGATGGCAATATCCTGAGGGATACCCAGCACGGGTTTGTTGCAGGTAGGTCTTGCTTGACCAATCTCATTTCCTTTTATGACCACGTGACCTATCACCTGTACAAAGGAGAAGAGATTGATGTCATATATCTTAACTTTAAAAAAGCATTCGATCTGATATGCTATGATCACTCCTTGGCAAAACTTGCTAACTGCGGCTTCAGCCTCACCACAATCTGCTGGCTGGGGAATTGGCTCTGCGGCAGGGTCCAGAGGGTGGTGGTTGATGGAAGTCAATCATCGTGGTGCCCTGTGACCAGTGGGGTCCCTCAAGGCTCTGTCCTAGGGCCTATACTCTTTAACATCTTCATCAATTATGTTGACATTGGTGTCAGAAGCGGGCTGGCCAAGTTCGCTGATGACACCAAACTTTGGGCTGAAGCAGCCACTCCTGAGGACAGGAGGGTGATCCAGGCAGATCTTGACAGGCTCATGAAATGAGTGGACAAGAACCTGATGGTGTTTAATACCAAAAAATGCAAAGTTCTCCACCTTGGGAGGAAAAACCTGCAGCATGCTTATAGGCTTGGCAGTGCTATGCTGGCTAGCACCACAGATGAAAGGGACTTGGGGGTCATGATTGACCACAAGGTGATCATGAGCCTTCAGTGTGATGCTGCAGCTGGTAAAGTGAGCAAAACTCTGGCTTGCATCCAAAGCAAATCCTGGGACGTCATTCTCCTGTTGTACTCGGCCTTGGTGAGGCCTCAGCTGAAGTACTGCATCCAGGTTTGGGCCCCACAATTCAAAAAGGATGTGGAGAAGCTTAAGAGAGTGCAGAGGAGAGCCACGCACATGATCAGAGGTCAGGAAAACAAACCTTATGACAAGAGGCTGAGGGCCATGGGACTCTTCAGCCCTGAAAAGCGCAGGCTCAGAGGCGATCTGGTGGCCACCTATAAGTTTATTAGGGGTGTTCACGAGGACCTGGGGGAATGTCTGTTCACCAGAGCACCCCAAGGGATGACAAGATCGAATGGTCACAAACTCCTCTGTGACAGTTTCAGGCTGGACATAAGGACAAATTTCTTTACTGTCCGAGCCCCCAAGGTTTGGAATACACTGCCGCTGGAAGGTGTTCAAGCACCCACTTTGAACGCCTTCAAGAGACATTTGGATGTTTATTTTGCTGGGATCCTATAATCCCTGCTGACTTCCTGCCCCTGGGCAGGGGGATGGACTCGATGATCCTCCAGGGTCCCTTCCAGCCTGAATGTCTATGGAATCTATGAAATCTATGAAATGTGAGATCACATCACCATTTTATACTGGGCCAGCTACAGGCATTCAGTTTCTCCTCGGAGAGTTGCTGCTCTCCCAGAAGAAACCACAGGTGTTCAGGATTTTTCTCCCGGAGTAAAAATGACTGCTCCAGGACAAAAATAACACCAGAGCAATCAGGGTGAGGCCAAGAGCAAATGTCTGTACATTCTTTTCTGAGAGGAGCAACAGCATCTTCTTTCAGCATCCCAAGGTGCTTTGCTCCAGGCTCCCCCCTCCCAGGAAACAGTGTGCTTACCCCCCTGAAGACAGTGTGTAATTTGCTGGACTCTGCTACTCCAGCTGAACAGGGAGCAGAAGATGCCCCCTTTACAATCCGTACATTGTGCTGCAGGGAGACACAGACTGACTCAGCAATCTGGATCAGCTAATGAAGGCTGCTCTGTGAACTGCTGCCATAGAGCATGCCAAGTTATTTAGGTGGCTGCACAGAATCAGCACTGCAAACTCTATTCTTCAGGGGCTCAGTATTTGAATGTCTCTGGGTTAGTATTGCTACCAAGAAAACAAACTGGGGAGAATTCTCCCAGGTCATTTGAACATATGTACAGAGTCTTATTCAGTGCTGTGTGTGGCAGGGCACTGTTGGTGCCTGCCACTTTAAGGGCCTGAACCCAGCAGCCAGCAGATGCCTGATTAGGGTGGCCATTTTGGAGTCAGGGCTGCCTATATAAGCAGGGCATTTTGCTGCCTGGAAGGCCAGGCTGCTGGTATCAACTGGAGGTAAGGGCAGGAGTTGTGGGGGATGGATCTGAGGCTCCTGGTCTTGGGCGTGATCTAAAACTGCACTCTGCCGAGAGT